TATATATATATATATATATATATATATATTATAAATATGTTAGCTCTATCTCTGATATTGAGCGCTTTCTAATAAGTACCGTGCATATAATATATAAATAATTATATATATATATATTTATTTATATTTATATATATTTATATATATATATATATATATATATATATATATATATATATATATATATATATATATATATATATATATATGTGTGTGTGTGTGTGTGTATGAAAAGTAGTTGAGAAATTCTTAGCCTGATCAACTTCACAAAATAAAATCTTACCAAATGAACAAACACAGATATTTTTTTTGAAATCTGTTTTCTCTCTTGGGCTGAGAACTTCTCAGCACCCTTCTTATTAATTCATGAAAAAGTCATATAATACATAATGTACCTACAGTCTCTTCAAGTTAATTATTCTATGTTTCCTTATAGAAACACTGCTCACCGACGAATATCTCTATTTATCTATCTCTCTCATACATACATACATACATACATACATACATACATACATACATACATACATACATACATACATACATACATACATACATACATACATACATACATACATACATACATACATACATACATACATACATATTGGAGGCACGTTGGAGTAATGGATAGCGGCTTGGATTGAAGAATCGGAGAGCCGAGTTCGAATTCCAGTCGAATCTGTAACATTCACTTATGTGCTAATATCCTTCCCTTCTCCCTCCAGCTATGGGTAAATAGCAGGACAGACTGGGTTCTATAGCCTATATACAGGTCTAGGAGAAGGACAACTTTGTATTCAAAACCTACTCGTTTGGGAAGCCTATGGCATTACGTGCCATAGGCTCTGTATTCGGCCCTTCAAAAAGTGTGGATGGTTCTGCACAAAAACCTTCACCACTATAATCAAATCTGTTGTCGGGCTGTCAGTTTCCTAGGAACTGATCTGCTTGACCCTCATACGTCGAATTCAAATGGAGTATACACTCTTTGAATTGTTATAACTTATTTAATTTATGTATTTTGACTTATAAATAAGATTAATACAAGAATACACATTTGAAGAATTTGAGAGTAAAATATACAAAAACACAACTTTAATAAGATAAAAGCTACTTAGGGCAATGGCACAATGTTCAGATAATGATGATTTCACATCAAGTGCTCAAACTGGTTGTCGTTCAGTTCAATACACTTTTCATATCTTGAAGAAATAGACCTACAAACGTCCAGTATCATTTTCCCAGGTATTTGAACACATCATTCTTCAATTAATACTCTAATTTCAGCAATTGTTTCAGGGTTCCTGCTGTAAACTTTGTCTTTTACCCCCAGCCCAACAAAAGTAAATCCAAGGGTGTCAAATCTGGTGATCTAGGTGGGTATTCAACTGTCCCTCTTCCAATCCATCTGTTTTGTATATTTTCATCCATATAAGTTCTCACATAACGGTAATGTATTATTAACTATTAATATTTAAAGAGTGTATACATTATTTTGGGATACCCTGTACATTTGGGATACCTTGTTTATTTTTTATTTAGTTTTTCAATATTTCTAATAACATTTCTGATTTCCGGTTGGCAAGTGTAAATATATCATCCCAGGTCTAAGCCCTTTCGGCTCATAATATCCACTTTCAAAGACTTTAATTTTGTAAAATATAGCATTTTGAGTGTTGACTTATCTAGCGTTTGCGTATTCTCGTGGCAATTCGTGACTTTAAATTTTTTTAATGACCTTTATTGTTTTCTTCGAAAATGATGAAATATAAGAATTATATTACTAACTGAATTAGCGTCCATTAACGATAGCACCAGGAATCCACAAAACATCAGATTCATTTTTAAAATTTCCCGAAATGTTGGAAGCATCTAGTGTAAGATACTGGAATATATATAATTCACTCTCAGATTAAATATTTTTACCCATCGACATAATTCTGTATTTATGTCTTTATAAATATATTTGTTTCTACATAGGCACTGGTATTCAAACATTGCTTCATAATATAAGTCTGGCATTTTAATGCGAGACAGCCTGGTTTAAAAATATTCAGCTTCAAGTTACCTGTGCCAATTAGAAAATGGCAGACAAAATATCGTAAGGAAAAATTTTGCTAATTACTTAATTAAGTAGATGATATTTCTAATTGCTAATTAACTACAGTTTAAAGATAAGTTATAAATTTTATAAGCCGGTGTGGGGTGATGTGAAAAGAGGGTATGGACAAAACAGTTAGACGTTTTTCCTCATCTTTTGGGTATAGACGATTCTGCACCCCCACTGATGACATCAGCAGCATAAGAGGCCGGAAAAATATTTTGTTTTCGCATTTATAATTTTACAAAAGTTTTGTAAAAAAAAAAATTGTAAAATTTTCAATACTATGGATTAAATATAATCGCTTTATATCCTTGATTGGAAACCATTATATTGAAAAGCTAAACCAATTAAAAAATTCGGTCTAGCGAAGGGCTAACAATTCTACGCCGTAAACATACATTCATGCTGCAGAAGCCACAACTGCAAAACATTTGCTGCGACTGTGTTAGTGATTCTCAACGAGGTCACTTAGGCTCACAAATGGACCTGAGAAATTTTAAAAATTGGCTTGGAGTTGGCCCAAGAAAAATAGGTGGGCGTTGAAATTCTATTTTTTTTTCACTGGCGTAAAATTATGAAAAAACAAACTGCTTTACTTTATTTTTTAAAGACGAATAATTCAGAAATTATTTAAATAAAATTTTCGATGTTTTCTTCTTATAATAAATTATATTTTCAAATTGATTTGAATTTTTTTTTGTTTAATTGTGTATGTTAGATAGACTTTATGTTCATTTAATTTATTTTCCATTTATTTGAGACCAGTATTTTTAATGCATTTAATGTGAGATATTGAGTTACAATATGACAAAGCTAATAAAAATGTCATCTTAGTTTTTGAAAGCATTACTTTATTTATCTTATTTCAACGCCTTTAATCCACATTTCCACCGTTAGTTATTTATAATTTATGAAACCTTTTTATTTACTGCCTGTGGTATTGTTATGTAAATGAGGTACTGCTATAAAAGCAGTATATCACAGCGAATGCCAGTCGATCTACCATCTGTTGGGCACCTCGAGATGGTGTAATGGTTAACAAGCTAGTCTTGTTGAAACTATTACGAAGGAGTAGTGAGTTTGATCCTCACTGGGTGCCCCTTACTTTCGGAAACGCTTGGAAAATCCCTAAGGGCACCTCGGCGTGGTGTAATGGTTAGAAAGCTTGTCTTGCTAGATCAATTACGACTGAGTAGTGAGTTCGATCCTCACTGGGTGCCCCATACTTTCGGCCTTGTACCATATCTAAGCTGGGCTTAGAAAAAAAGAGAGTCGAGCTGGGACCTTTCCCAGCTGCGCTGGTCGAACTCTCTGTCTTCGGGCAGAGAGGAACCCGGACGAGGCTATACCGAAAGGCAGAGTTTCGACCGGGGAGGTAGACAGACCTGATCCCGTTTATGCGGGTCTACGGGGATTTTTTGGCCGAGCCTACGGGATCAGGAACCCCAATTGAAATTCGGCCTTGTGCCACATGTGATTCAGGAAGAGGGGAAACAGTTTGCGTTGTTTTGAGTCAATGCTTTTGCTGCTTTGTGATGGAGAAATCTCATCACACGCTTATGATATGCAATTGGATGAAATTGTTAATTCTTCTTTTGCTTATACGTAGATGGATATATTTGATGTGTAGAAAGTGCATTTCATTTGTCCTGGATATTTCCACGTTCCTAACGTTCTGGATTTTACAGACGATGTCAAGCTTACAGTCATATGACATTGAGACAACGGTTTCCGACAATCACCATAGCTAAGAAACGTCGAGCCTGATCAGTACGTAGATGGGTGAATGTTTGGAAATAGCAGGTGCTGTAAGCGTGGATGTGCGGGTGGTGAAATAGATAACAGCTCGGAATTGGAAATTGGAGAGCCGAGTCCCAATTCCTCTCGGATTCATTGTATTCACTTACGGGCAAATACCATTGGGAAAGGTATGAATCCAGCTTTTCTCCTTCCAACCAGCTATGGGATAATTAATAGGAATTGTATCAATAAATTATTATTATCCCTCAAATGTTCTTACAATCTTAAATTATTTTCTGGCATTAAATAACCTCCAACAGGTTGATAAGCCGTAAAAACAAATCAAACCAAAAATTATTACATTATTTTAATGTACTTTTTTTACCACAATAATAAATGTTTAATATTTCAATATTTAACGATCAATATATCTATGCATCATGATAAAAATAATTATCAATTATAAGCGTACCTTTGAGAGTGGGTCATTCGTAAAAGGGATTGCAATCTGGTAAATAAGTTTTTACAGATCGGGTTCTTATATGGGAGTGGTAGCCTTTTACTTTCTCAGGGCCTTATGTGGAAACGAAAAGGATTGATTAACTTCCATATATTTAAGTGCTCCCTTGTTTGTTGTTTTGAAATTTGTGATTAGATCACCAGCACTTCATTAATTAAATAAAACAAGAAGTATTACCAACAAACTTGAATATTTATCTGAACATGAATTGATTAAATTGGCATGAAACAAGAAGGAAACTCGGTTTGCGCTTGAGACGAAAAGAATTGGTAACGAAATTGGGGTTATTTGCATATCATTTCTGTGTAGATCAAGCTTTTCTAAAATATCGATAACTTTACTTTTACTTTATCCAAATCTTTATCTTCTTTATTTTGATCCTTTCTGACAGCATTCTAATCCATGGAAAGAGCCGTTCTTTTCCCAGCATCTTAAGCAAAGCCGCATTGTCGTTCACTTAATTCTGTTCTAATTGTTGTACGAGCTCTATTAATGTTTGCAACTGGATTCTTTGGCAAGGCTATCAAAACATAGTTGCAGTATAAATCGCATGTTGCTTCTGTGGCTTTTTAAAGAAACGCAAATGTGCTTCAGCAGGTGTCTGCAACAGAGATTAGCTAATCATCCCCGTAGACACAATTACTAAACATCTATCTATCTATCTATCTATCTATCTATCTGGCATGTCCAGTAGTTAAAATATCATTGATTCTGAATATTTATTTTTCAGCAGAATATTCCAGTTATTCAACTTTCATTGTTAACTTTTATCCTCCTGGTATGGTGTACCTTCATCTGCTTATGAAGTTGTCAAATGAGCATTTATATATATATATATATATATATATATATATATATATATATATATATATATATATATATATATATATATATATAAAGTAAATGATTATCTCTATATAATTGAGTAAATATTAAGTCAATCAAGTAAAGAGTAACCACATTCAGGCAATGACGTGTAGTTTTATTTTTTGGTTTTGTCTTCAGGAGAGAAGAGATCTAAAAAATATTTCACTTCTGGAGCAGGTTCATTGAGAGCTAACGAAGCTAATATGAGACAGGCAGGGAATGCCATAGCAACTGCAGGGGGATGGAAGCTTTATGACAAGGAAAAAGTTCTAAAGAAAGTCAGATTCTATAGCACCGAGTAACTATATTTTGTGAGAAGACACTTCTCACAAAATCTAGTTACTCGTTCGACCTCGAAAATTCATATTTTTCACCCCAAGCAAGGTGATAATGCCACTAAGACGCCAGGGCTCAGTGAGAGTGAAAGAGAATGAGAAAACTTTAGTGAAGAGAAAGAACAGGATTGAAAAAAAGTAGAAGATAAGGACTGGCGTTGGATTTACAGTTTTGAAGATCGTCGATGAGCGGGAAACAATAAACCGGAAGAGACTTCTACAGAGGAGAAAAAAAATGCTATTAGAATAGAACTTACAGTTACATCAATGTATTTCACAGTAGAAAAAGAACAAAGAAACAGTCAGTTAAGGGCCATGCGTGATACACGCTTAGGCGATCATGTATCTTTCGATACATGACTGATGAGGCATATTTTTCCGCAGTAGGTTGCCATTACTTTCTTCGGTAAACCAGTTGCCATCCAATGTTATAGAACCCGATCTTACTCGTAGCTGGGGGAAAAAGAGGATTCATACCTTTCCCAAGGGTATTAGCACGTAAGTGAATGCAATGGATGCGATTTGAATTCGAACTCGGCTCTCCGATTCTTCAGGACGAGCCGTTATCCATTACTCCGCCGTAGTAAGCTGAATTTGTGAGGTACCAAGGAGGAAAACGCATTAGAATAATTGCCAGGAAATTATTATTAGTATTGTTCACTAGTTCTAGTTGATGCCTCAAAAGGGGGAAGTTCTTTAAAAATACTTGCATTTGATCCGTATCATTTCTCTCTCTATCACATTGTTTTATAACAAGCTACTATATATAGCTAAGACTGAGTTATTATGCCTATTATAAATTGCATAGGACGTCGTTGTCGTCGTCTGTCTATCAGTCTGACTGTCAGTCTGTCAGACTGACACCTCTCTCTCTCTCTCTCTCTCTCTCTCTCTATATATATATATATATATATATATATATATATGTGTGTGTGTGTGTGTAATCAGTAATTAATGAATTTTGTATCCGATATTACTTCTTATTACTATAAATGTTATATTTAGTGGAGGTTCCCAAGTAGGTATCTTTGCGTACGACACTACTATTTACTCCTATCTCAAAAACAAATCTAGTGTCGCTGACAAAACTAACCTGGCCGTTTGTCTCGAAAAGGATCTCCAATCGGTTGTGGACTGGGGCAGGAATTGGCTGGTTAACTTTAATGAGTCAAAAACAAAACTGCTCTCTATTACCCACCACAGAGAACCATCCCTGCCTCCCATTAGAATGTCTGACGCTCAACTCCACAAGAACACCTCTTTTCGACTGCTCGGTCTCATATTGTCTGCTGACCTGAGATGGAACAAATACATTGAGTCAATAGTTTCGTCCACCGCAAGGAAAGTTGGCTCCCTGTGCTGTGCCAGGAAATTTTTCTCGCCGGAGTCGATACTTCAAATCTACAAATCAACCATTCGTCCTTGCATAGAGTATTGCTGCCATATATGGTCTGGAGCGCCGTCTGTTTGTCTCAAGCTCCTTGATAAAATCCAGAGACGGATAAGCAACGTAAATGGTCCTGATCTGGCATTTCGTCTGCAGTCGCTCTTTCACAGACGTGCCGTCACCTCCCTCTGTCTTTTTTACAAATACTTTCACGATAAGTACTCCGTTGAACTGCTTTCTCTGGTTCGCAGACTTCATGAATTTAATCGTTCAACTAGGCTGGCATCTCGCTCTCATCCTTTCACTGTCGAAACTGTTAAATGTAGCCGTCTCTTCTACATCAATAGCTTCATGTCTCGCAATTCTCAGCTGTGGAACCCCCTTCTCATTTCTTGTTTCCCCGATAGCTATAATCTCCAATTATTCAAATGTAATGTCAATCGATGTCTTCAGATGCCTTGATCTATCCCCTATCCTTCTCTTCATCCTTTCCTCTATCACTCCTATTTGCTCTCGCTCCAACTCTCTGTAATCCCTTGCGTGCTATTGGCCTCTCGCCTTGCTTGGGGTGAAATGCTTAAAAAGAATACACAGTGCAATTAATATCTACCAGCCTAAAGTCGTATAAAAATATGACTCCCTGCAAAAAGCAAAACTGCATTCCATTTCTAATTTGGGAAAGTTTTCGTGAGACATTTCCTTTAATAAGCGTTTCGATCCCTAGTCTGGTAAGTATACATTTTACTGTTTAAAAAAATACAAATATGTCTACTCAAACAGCTGTGCTCATTAAATATAACGTTTATATATATATATATATATATATATATATATATATATATATATATATATATATATATATATATATATATCTATACTGGAACGGTGTGAAGAAAAACAGATAATAGAATTTGTATATAAAAATATTAGACAAAATGATATCAGGGAAAAAATTCAAGAAAAAGAAAAAGACATAACATTCATGCTCGTTAAGTTATTTAGGTTATATATATATATATATATATATATATATATATATATATATATATATATATATGTATGTATAAAAAATCAATGACATTTTCATATCAACTGTAATAGTAAACTGAAAACCTAAAATCTACCTTTAAATAAAATTCTGGTTACCAAGTCATCGTTTCCAAGTGTTTGAGCGTGTTGGTATTATTCTGGCTGCTGATCACTCCAGATAAACTTTAACAAAGGTCCGTTTAATATAGTTGCATTATAAACAAAAGGTGGGCTCTGTGATTCGGCAGAACTGGGTTGGGTGTGAAAAAGTATTTGTTGTTAACATTCTTTTTTCATTCGGTTTTTCCAGTTACGAGTCCTTTTTTAAAGCTGATCGTTTCGTGTTCATTTTGTTTAGTTCTTTTTTTGTAACAGATCTAATGTTTTGTATAGAGCTTAGAAAAAATTCGCAGTGTGAGATAGGCAAGAAGTAAGGCATGTAGTAACATCAGCACGGTAAAGGGCACTCCTTTAAAGGCAAGGAAGGGCAAAAATATTTTAAGTCAAATGATAGCGATTGCTGTATGAATCGTACGATTTTTGAATCAAGCACGGGCAACGCCGGGCCATGCTGCTAGTATTTTATAAACAAGACGAATACACAATGCGTCTTTTGTAATGTTGGACGGCTTCGCTTGTCACTTTTGCTATGTCAAGCGAAAACTCGCTATCACTTCCAAAAATGCTCGTATATTCGAGACTTCGTAGACGCCGGTACTAGGTTAACGCCTTCCAATAATATCGGCACCAGTTGTTTAAGTAGTAATCGCCAAATAGTATAATGATCAGAAGAGAATCCTAATACGTAG